AACCACGTAGCCGTTTTTGAGACAAAGATAACTCTATCACTAACCAAACCAATGGTAGCAGTTGACATCTGAGTCAGATAACCGCCTGTATTACTTGGGATAAATGCAGGGGGTACCTATTGAGTTAATAGCCAACAAACATTGGCGAATCAAGGGGTCTAGCCGGCCTACGCCGCCTGGTACCTCTACTTCTCAGACAAAAGTGACGGCGGCTGAGTAACTCCAAAGTTAACTCATAGTCACTCCTTCAAATTTGGTATGGAATCCAAAAAGTTTGAGTCGTCCGCCTGTTTTAAACAAACAAGGGCACTCGAACCCCTATTCCTACTGGATAACCTATTGAGTTAATAGCCAACAGACATTGGTAAATCAAGGGGTCTAGCCGGCCTACGCCGCCTGATGCCTCTACTACTCAAACAAGATTGTGACAAAGACTAAGTAACTCCTATGTTAACTTAATAGTCACTCAAACTTAGTATGGAGCCTAAAGGTATGAGTCGTCCACTTGTTTTAATAAACAAAGGCTCTCAACCAATACTCTTGCTAGGTTAACAAATAACAAATTAAAAGCCAACATTGGCAATAAAGGGAAACAACCGGTACCCGCCGCTTGTTTTCCTATTTAATTCCTTGGCTACTAGGTAATTCTATTTACTTGGTCAAATTGAATAAAGAGTTCGAATACCGATTGATTAAATGGCCGACTGATCATCTATCCTGGAAACAGACAACCAGTCGTCCAGGGGCATAGGCGGCATACTTACTATTTGTACCTGTCTTAACGTTCGGCCATACACAACAGTCGGTCTAGTGAGCAAATTTCAAATACTTAGACAAATTTGATTAAAATTTGAACCAAAACAAAAAATTTGATTAAAATGAGCCGGCCATAAAAGACCAGCAGAATATTCAAAACCCCGGCCCCCTGGCCGGGTAATTACAAAGCAAACGGCACGCAGGCCGTGAAAAGAAAAAATACTTAAAGCTTAAGAAGGGGGCAGTTCAGTATCAGCAGCAGCCGCCTGGTCAGCACTCTTCTTGCTGGACTCGGCCTTAGCTGCACCATCTTTTGATGCCTTACCCCCAAGTGGCACAAGCGCCACAACCGGCTCTTCCTCCTCCAACGCAACGTCCAACGCCTCTTCTTCAGCAGCCGCCAGGATCTAATGATTGTATATTTCCGAACACTGGCGGTACGTTCTTTCCCATGAGGCAAAGTCGGCACTGGGGAACAGTCGTTCCCAGGTCATGCGTTGGATTTGGGCGGAGTCTTCCACCATCTCCCGGACGAGCTCTTGTTTCTCTTGCTCGGCCTTGTCCGAGAGCTCTTGGGTAAGACTCTTCTCCTGGTTCACCAGGCGTTCTTTTACGTTAGCCAAAGATTTCTCCATGGCTTCGTAAGAGTGCATTTTTTGGCGAAGGGGTTTCAGCTCGGCTTTAAGGTTGGTGACGGTCCCCTCCAGCTCGTCAACCTTCTTTTGGGCCGCCTCTAGCTGAGCCCGAACAGCGGCGGTCGCCTGCGCCTGATAATAAAGAAGATCAATGGTCAGTACTTCATTTTGGGCAATTTGAAACATTGCCTTATCACAGCTGGAGGCGGCCATAGCCTTTGCGGCCTTTACCTCTTTGTTTTTCCGATCAATCGGCTTGCGAAGGCTGTTGACTCGGAGCAGGGCCTAAGTACAAAGAAAAACAGGCGTCAGTTTCCAATCAAAAGAGTTAACAGGCGTCCTGGAACTCAAAAGCTCAAAAATATACTAAGTATACCTCAGCAAGGACCCCTGAAATTCCATCGAGGTCAAGGGTGCCGGCACCCCTGACCGCCTCCCTGTCAGATGGAGGAACTACTTTAACCATTGACTTGGCTACCTCAACCAAGTCAAGTCCCTGGGGGCCGGCTGCATTAAGCAAAAGAAAAAAAAAACAAGTTAGACCTAATCAAGAAGGAAGCAAGGGTGAGTTTTAACAAGCAAGTGTCCATACATCTAGGCGGCCCCGCCTGGGTTTTTGAAGAAGTGGCCGGCTGCTTCTCAGCCACCACTGTTTTCCTGGAAGACCCAGGAGAGCTTGCAACAGTCGTCCTCCGGGCCTTGGGGTCCGGCTGTTGCGAGGAAGAAGCCCTTGGAGTGCCAGACTGAAAACAAAAAGAGTTAGTATATGCATAAGACAACTAAAAGGAGAAGAGTTTTCAAAGCTTACCAAGGGTGCCTCCTTGCTGGGGGAGTCGGCATACGACTGCTTCATTAGCGAGACCCGCAGCATGGCCGCCGCAGTCTTAGATGCTGTTATTTTACTCATGGCGTCGGCTGAAAGAAATAAACAGCAAAGTTAGTAAAAATCCCAAGTAAACAAGGCGTGAAAAAACAGAGTATTCGTCAGGCCGGCTACCTCTAGAGCACCGACTGCTGAGGCCACAGGCGGCCAAGAAGTACTCGTCATAGAGCCACTTGAAGCTCGGGACGCAGTTTAGGGGTACTTGCTCTCGTACCCCTGAAGTAGAGTTCACCCTAGTCTCTACTTTGAAGAGTCCTTTGTCTAGGATCTCTTTTTTAGCCTTTGGGGGAACAGGCGGCATGCTGCGGCCGCCTGCGAGAAGAGGCGGATCCCTGTTCCACTTGTTAAAACGTTTGTTCAGCTCCGTGTCTGAACTCTCGATAATAAGGAAGGTGTTCCGCCAATCCTTCCATTTGTTTGCCTTACCTCTCGTCATGAGGTAACCCCTATGGCTTGTTAATTGATACCAGCCGGTACCTCCCGACTTAGGGGTCCGGCTGAGATAGTTCATGTGGGCGAAAGCCTCAAAACTTGGCTCCACCCCGTTCAGTTCGCACCCGGCCACATAGCCGAGTACGTTTACCCAAGAGTTGGGGGCTAACTGCCATAACCCCAGATCATACCCATCTAAAATCCGCTGAACAGCCGGATGTAATGGGAAGCGCAGTCCAGCTTTGATGGCCGCCACATAGCAGCCAAAGCAGCCGTCGCCATAGCTGGTACCAGCTGGCCAGACGACAGTATCTTCTGGATCCGGCACAAACAGTAAATACTCCGGGCCCATTTTGTGGTTAGCAATAAAGCTCGCCACGTTGTCTCGCATGGTTGCAATCCGGCCCCGGGGTACCCTGCAGTAGTAGGGGGCGTTTTCCTCTCTGTAAGAGGCGGACGGCTCTGCCCAATTATCCCCCTTCTCCACTGCATGAGAACTTCTCGCCTCTTGTAGGCGGCTATGTTTTTCTTCTGAGCCAGAAGAACTATGGTCAGAAGAGCTGGATTCGGACTCGTCCCCTGACGAGTCCGAAGAGGACGACTCCTCCCCTCTCCTAGAGGGGCCCGCCTCCTCTCCCTTAGAAGGAGCAGAAGGAAAATTAGACATGTCCACGGTAAGATGGGAAGGGAACACCTTGGTCCCTCTCTCAGAACTGTCAGCTTGACAGTCGCCTCGTTCTACATCTGGCGCCTGGTCAGATGTTTCACTAAGGAGCACCCTTTGGGAGGAGCCGTCTGAGTTTGATATCATAGCAGTCTTTTTTGTTCTGGCCATCACGTTCTGCATAGACACAGATACAGTCGGACTTTGTATAAAGGGCAAAGATGGGTCCAGAAAAGGGCAGGCGGCACTCCTAGTCCTAGATTCAGCCGTCCCCGGTGACCGGCTGATCACTAACTTAGGGCGTGTCGTGTGCTTCCATGGTGCCATTTCAAAAAATAAAAAGAAAATTAAGAGTAAGAGAACTTAGTTACCTGAACGAGTGACGGTTGATGAAGTCCTGAAAGTTCGGGTCAGTCGGCTTGTCAGAACAGGCGGTAGGCAGAAAAAGTCCGAAATGTCAGAGCAAGTTCAGGGGTCCGAATGTTCTCGCAAAAGTTCTCAAATGTGAAAATGACCGAAGTCAGCACTTCCTTTTATAGGCAAAGTGAGAAGGCGAAGGGTCGCTTCCAAATTCAAATTTGAGCGGGAAAATCTCTCGGCCGTCTGCAAGGTGACACCTGTAACGGGCCGTCGCCTGTCACCGTGCGACACCTGTCACAGGCGACACGTGACCAGTCGCGTGCCACCTGTGAGGGGCAAATGATTAGGGGATTTTTATCCACCAATCACCGACTGACAAGTGGACCAACCAGGTTCCGCCACGTGTTCTTCACGAAGGCCAACAGGAACCTGCCACGTGTCAATCACAGATACGTCCTCCACGGACCACTTAAGACACGCCACGTGTCCGCCCATGCCAAATGGGAAAACCGGCCATCAAGGCCCAGTCCAGTCTAGAGGCCCGGTCAGCCCTAGGTTTACCTTAAACCTAGAGGGTTGCACGCTTCCCAAGGCTATAAATACTCGATTAATCCTCATTAATCAGGAGACCGAATAATTAAGAGATCAAGCAGAGAAGAACAGAGTCATTAACAACCGGCTAATCTCGCTAACAACGCAGATTACCAACACTAAGCACTCTCACCTAGAGAGATCTCATTACTTTAATTTCTGTATTGATTACTCCTTAATCGGGTACTAACTTGACCGTTGGAGGTGGAGCTCTCAGGAGTCTCCGTTATTTTGCAGGTACAGGCGTCCGGTTCCAGTCTCGGAATTGTAACTCTCCCGCAGGACATCAGAAAACCCCGAAACAATTTTCATGTAGTATGATGTTCGTTCTGATAAAATGAATGTTCATTTTCATGTAGTACAATGTTTATTCGTATAAAATAACCATTGATTTTGTTAAGAAAAGTATTGGCCAAGAAAGATTCGGTGACACCAATAATTTTAGGTGCCGAATCCACATGACCCCACCACGTTGACTTCCGCCGAGCTCCGCCTATCAATGGCGGAGTTTTGGAGGTGACTGCTCGTGATATGGCGGACACTAGTAGAAAAATGCACATTTGCGTCGCCTTATTTGCGTCACTTGTAGCGCAAATGAGATATTTTGGCTTCATTATAAGTAATTTGCGTCGGACATTGGCTATAAAGAAAACCAAAAGTCTGATACATTCCCGCTTATTTATATTTGCGTCGCTTTTATAAATAGGAGCGACGCATATACTATTGTTATTTGCGTCACTCATTTCCTGATAAATGACGCAAATGACTATTCAGTATACAAAAAAAATGAAATAAAAGCTTACGCTGCCGTTCGAAGTTCTTCAAAACACTCAGCAACTTCAACCCCAAAATTCCCAAAATTTCTAACAACAAAACCTAAAAAATTCATCCAGTAAAACCCTAGAATTCCCCAGCGCTGCCATTCCACCTGCAAACACCAGCAAATTCAACAGCTATACCTCGAAAATTCGAGCCCAAAACCTACAAATTTGACCACTAATCGATAAACCCAGCAAATTGTAGGCAAAACCCGTATATTCGAGCCAAAACCCACTTTTTTTCGAGCAAAAGATCGACCCAAAACCCCACGAAAGTGTGAGAGAATTAAAGTTTGTGTTTCGAATTTAGGGTTCTTTTAATTAGTTGCAATTTGTTTCGATTATTTGAAACTTAGGGTTTGTACTCGATTCTATGGGATTTTGGCTTACTTTTGCATAAGTTGCAAGCTTGCTTCATCCGATGTAAGAGCTCTTCATCTCTTTATCTTATTTTCAATCTACATAGATATTTGGAGTTTAATTGTAAATGAATTGCACGAATTTTAGAATTACAAGCAGATTTCTGTATAACAGATTTTTTGGGTTCGTTTTCGAATTTAGGGTTCATCAAAGAAATTTATGGTTTTTTACTCGATTCTAAGGAATTTTGGTTCTATTTTGGTGAAATTTATGTAGTCGATTTCAACGAAGGTAAGATCTGTTCTTTTTTTCTACTGTTTTCAAACTAGCAGATGGAATTTAGGGTTCAATTTTGCTTGTACTTAGTTTAATTTTACTATTTTGTTGTGATTTTTTGCACAAATTTTAGAATTTTATTTTTGCAGATTATGTGCTTCATGCTTAGTATATAGAAGTCTATTAATTTACTTTTGAGCTGCTGAAGTAAAAAAGATTAAGATGTACTCTGTAATAAGGTGTTCTTGAAATGAAACTTGCCTATCAAAATGATGTTCATCATTGTTAAGGTCGACAGTCTCAACACTGTCCTATAATTAGGAAGTAAGATATGTTCCTTTCCTCAGCTTAAGGCCTTTATGGAGTTTTTGCTATCATTTTGTGCATCTGATGATTTGGAATAATCAATAATGGTACACTACTTATATTTCTTGGAACGACTTTGTGCACATTATGATCTTACAGATAATGCCAAATTTACCAAAACCTTTTTTTAACATCCACTTGTTTTCTCTCGTAGTTGAATGGGTAAAATGACTTCATGGAAAAATATTGGCAGCCCAAGTAGGAGATATGCTCTTTATATTATTCATGTAATTGGTCATAGTGGCTCCCCACTTTTCTTTGACAACCTTTACTAGTTCTATGTGTTTAGTCTTGTTCTCACTGAGCTTTATAAGCCTTCCTGTTTTAAAGTTCTGTGGTATCAAAATAAAGCCTTGAGTATCTTATTTATTAGATATAAATGAAGCCAAAGTAGAACGTAATTTAAAACCTCCTATAGAAAGCTAAACCCAAGGGTTCCCTCTTTCAATAATTGACTGACTTTGGGATTGAGTGTTATTTGTCTAGCTTCTGTTAAAGATGTGATCAAATCTGTTTTTGCATATAACTTCTATTTGGGATTTTAAAATATGAGCTACAATGTACTCTGCCTTTTTTTTGAGGATTCTTTATCAATCTTAGGTTGTAATTTACATCTTTAAATGTGCAAAAAAATATCTACCAACTTTGAAAATAGCAGATTTGGATGCCCTGTTCTTTGATGTATGCCTGTTTTGTATTGTGATATTGACATAAATTCTCGGGATTTGTGTTTATTGTATGATTTTTAGGTTTTCTCAGATATAAATAAGCCAAATGGACAATTTATTTTGCCAAATGATCGAATTTTTATCATGACTTTCATATCTTCCCTCCCAATAAGAAACGTACTTGTTATGAGCCTCCCCAATTTATTTATTTTTTACTTTTTTTGGTATCTTTTCTGTAATTTAGAATGTTATGAAAGGCAATAAATGTAAATTGTAAAACCTATTGAATTTTGTAGTGAACATGAACATTTGTTCATCACTTGTTTTCTTTATATGCTTTACGGACAGATGGGAGGCATTGGCAAGGTTACTGAGCATATCCTAAGGATTTCTTTTGAGATTGATACATGCAAAGATTTACTCGACAAAGGTGCTTTTCTATGTGCATTGTTTTCTCCTTCATCTGCAGGTTGATTACCTTGTTGTTTTTCTTCTACTTGAATCAGTATATAATTGTGCAGTGCCCTTAACTTTTGCTTAATGATTTAGTTGCATTGTAGCCTAGTAGCTTGTGTCCTTTTAGGTATTTTTTTCTCTTCTGTGTTTTTCTTTTTTTCCCTGGTACATGAAGGCATTTCAACTTGCATTTCAGCTATGTAGCAGAATTTGAGTAAGGCATCATCAATTTTTAAACAAAAGTGTCTAGTTGTCATTAAACCTATAGTGGTTAGTTATCCATAGTCTTGGCCACTTACATTTTCTCCAGGGTACATCACATAGCAATTTAGCCAAATACCAAAAGATTTTCATTAGAAGAGTGGGAGGAGGGGGGTTTGATTGTGATTTCCTATTGAGGAGTGGTGTTAATTGAAATCTAGATATATGAGGCAAAAGTAGGTAATTTGAATTAATGGTTTAGTAAGGAAGTGGAAGAGGACCACAACGAAGTGAGAGAGGAAGGTTTTAAAAGAATTTATGAGCTGATCAGTACCCTGATTTTAGCGTGGTCATTTCTTGTTTCTGATCAAATCAAAACACCTATATCTTGTACGAAGTACATATTAAATAACAATAAATAAATAAACATACTTCAAAACCAATATTTCATATTTGTAATAAAATTCACATCATTTCTGGCAAGATAATAATATAATAGCAAGCAGAGTATGATTCCTTTTACATTTTGCTTCACAGGCTACATATATTAACTTGACAATGTTCATATTGTAAACCTGCTGCAGATTTTTTTCTATCTGTTAGATTGGGACTAGGGAGCACAGATACACCACAAGCTAGACTGTGGAAGAGCATGAGTAATGAAAGAACATTTTCCGCCACCGAGGATGAAGCTTACTTATATAAGAAGCTAGGTAATATGAACTTAAATTAACTTTTTTTCTCTACTGGTTAATTTCTTCACCTTAATCTGTTATAGCTCTAGCATTCCTGATTAGGGGATTTTGCTCCCACCAATCGGAATGCGCCACGTGGGCCAATCAGGTCCTGCCAAGTGTTCCCTAGTTGGACCTCTCAGGGCTTGCCACGTGGCACACGCTTATTCGTCCGCCTTGGACCTATTATGTCATGACATGTGGCATACTCCATGCCTAATGGAGAAGTCGGCCACCTAGGCCCAACTTCCGAGGGAAGCCCAATCAGCCCAAGGTTAACCTAAACCTAGATTGGCACGTTTCCCGAGGTTATAAATACCTCCCTTAATCCTCATTAAGGGAGATTACGCAGATTACACACATTAAACACTCTCACCTAGAGAGACCCAATCACTTTAATTTCCGCATTAATCTTAATCAAGTACTAACTTGACCGTCGGAGGCGGATCTCCAATCATCCGGAGCATCCGTTTCTTTTGCAGGTACAGGCGTCCGGTTCCAGTCTCGGAATTGTAACTCTCCCGCAGGACATCAGAAAACCCCGAAACAATTCCGATGTTGAGTCCTAGGCTGTAGTCGATTTAATTCAACTTATAAATATATTACATGTAGTGTCCTCAACAATTGGGTGGACGTGAGTGTGGCTACTACGTCATGCGTTATATGTACGAAATTCTTAAACATCATCATAGCAATGATGATCTTATTAAGGTATGAGTTGTCAAATATTTCATTTTTGTTTGATAAATACAATTTGATATGATGTTAGCTACAATCTTGAATTAAAACTTTCCTCTTGTATATTTGTTGTGTTGATAGGATTTTTCAAGAACTACACCGTACACCGAGGAGGAGATAAATGAGATTCGAGATATTTGGGCAGAGTATTTTATATGTAATGTTGAACTTTAGATTTACACTTAGCGCATGTTGGACTCTTGTTTTGGATTATAGGCTTGAAATGAATGAATTTGGTTAATTGGTGTTGGGATGATGAGTATAATGTCTATGATATTGAGATGTAAATTATTGGACAAATTTCAAAGGAGACTCTGCCGAAATTTACATTTGCATTATTCAATAATATTGCATTTTAATTTCAATTATATTAGCGTTAGCATATTACTTTATACCACTAGTAAGGAAAACAAGTACTACAAACATATACAAGGCAATTATTATAATTAAAAAAAAATTCACCTCATTTGCGTCACTCATTAAACAAACAAGTGACGCAAATACAACAATTTTGTATTGTCTACTCAGTCATTTGCGTCACTCCTATATAAACAAGTGACGCAAATAACAAATAAGAAGTTTATCAGAAGAGTCATTTGCGTCGCTCTTAATAAAGGAGTGACGAAAATAACAAAAAAGAAGTTTATCAGAAGAGTCATTTGCGTCGCTCCTTTATAAAGGAGTGACGCAAATAAGAGTCATTTGCGTCGCTCTTTTATAAAGGAGTGACGCAAATAACAAAAAAGAAGTTTATCAGAAGAGTCATTTGCATCGCTCCTTTATAAAGGAGCGACACAAATGACTCTTATTTGCGTCGCGCCTAGAAGCGACGCAAATGACTTTTCGCGAGCAGTTGCGTCGCTCATAGAAGCGACGCAAATACACTATAAATGAGCGACGCAAATAAGCCTTTTTCTACTAGTGGGATGTGGCTCGTAATGATGCTGTCATTTTAGGATGAATTTAAAGGTTTGGACAAGAAATTGATGGTGGACCTGGAAGAAGGCGATGACAAAAAATTGTGAACACTTCCTCCCATCAATGACGAAGTTCAAAAGGTGACTACTTGTGATATGGCGAAGGATGTGGCTCGTAGTGGTGCTGCTATTTTAGGGTGAAGGTTTGGAGAGAGAAAATTGTGGTGGATTTGGAGGAAGACGATGACAAAAAATTGTGAACATTAATATTATAAGAATGAACATTTGATAGTATGAAAATGAACATATAATTTATAAGAATAAATATCCTATAGCAAAAAAATGTTCATTTTTATCATATTAAATGTTCATTTTTAAAATGAGAGACTAGCTAGAAATGGTTGGACTCGATCGATACTAGCTAAAAATTTGCGCTCTTATGATCAATATAATTATGGCGCCAGATAACACTAGTTAATCGGGGTTCCCTTAATTAAGTCGAACGGTGGTCAAACTTTCCTTAAAAGGTCAAAGTCAACTAAATTCAACAAATATTAATGTGGGTGTAACAAGTAGGTAGCAATATAACTACCTAATTTTATACCCTGTACAACTCTCTGAAAATTTGGTGTCTTTAAACCCAAAATAATTTATTTTGTGTCCCTTAAAATCATTCATTTTGTTTCCTTTTTATATATTCGTTTAGACCAGTTTATTTGGTCCATAATCTGGGTCCAATGATTAAATAGTTGAATGGAGTTTGAAAAGAGATTTCCAGCGATATATTATAAGCCCTAATCCGAGTTATAACGAATAACTTATGATCAAAATAGGAAATTTTTAACATGCATCATGGTGCATCTAGTTCTATGTGCTCCATCATAATGCTCTACCGTTTTACAATTTTGATTAATTAGGATTTTATTTTGTCATCTCCTTCAAACTTATTTATCTTTTTTTTCTAGAATTAGTTTTCCATTTCCAGAGCTCATTCCACATTTTAGAAAAACGCCGTCAACCAAAACTTACCACTACGCTACCAATTGCGACTCGATGTTGACTTCAATTCAATTTGACACAAGTTTCCGTTTGTATTTAAAAAAAATTCCAACTTTTGAGAAAGCTCTTTCATTGTATATTTCCTTTTCAAATGTAGAGATTTGAAGCTTGATTTTTGGAGTATGAGATTCATATTTTGGTGAAAATACTTCTATTTTTTTTATATCAATAAATTTATTTAACAATGGTTTTATGGAGGAGGAGAGAGAAATTGAAGGTCAATGGAGAAAAATGGAGGAGAGAAAAAATTCCTAGTTTATTTTCCTTTTATCCTTCTTGGAATTGTACATTTTTTCTTTATTTTGTAATAGATGAGAATTTTGGATATGATTAGGCACTATGAGAATTTTGTTATAATATGTACTAGCTATCAATATTTGAATCTATACATAAAGCTATTACGAATGAACACGAGTACAATATATACAACAATTAGTTTTATAGTGAACATTGTTCCATTTAATTTGAACATTGTATCATGTAGTTGTAAAATGAACTATATACATACCTTTAATGATATATGGGTGCGTATATCAACCAATTTAACTTTCCTTGCCTAATTGTTTGTTTTATATAGTAAAATGCAATGAGTCTAAACACTAATTGAAAACTAAAGTTTTTTTTTAAATGAACATAATAGACACGTTTCTTCTTATTAGTTATGATTAAGAACATATGATGAATGGACATATTACTACACGCCTACACCTGTATGATAACTTTCTTCTCACTATGATACTTATAACTCCTTGTATAATAGTCTAATAGCTTCAAATAAAAAACGGAAGTGATAATACATTACTATATATGTTGATATATAACTGATTTGCATGAGGTGAAAGATTTATAGCCAAACTCGTACTTTAGAATCTAAAAAATAATAATAATATGGGAATTTGGCATATAAGTAATAAACATTAAGTACTAAATTATAAAAATCAACTAATAAGAAAATGAATATGAAGAATCATGAAAATAAACCTATAGGTATTTATTACAATATAAATAAATATGACAAATAATAAACAAATTATATATATATATATATATATATATATATATATATATATATATATATTTTGAAATATTAGAAAACAATTTATGAAAATATTTATCACAATTCGACACCCTTATTATGTTCTTGAGTTGTTTGGATTTGGATTTTTGGCTTCCAGCACAATTCTTATTCCGTAATCTTGCCTCTTTTTTCTTCCAATTCATTTTATCCATTTATGTTCCTTCGCCCATACAAAAATGATAAGGTGAGCCCTTGATGTAGAATATTTCTCTTTTGAACACGAACTCGAGCATTAAAACAACTATATAATATATGAACAATAAGCATAAGAATATGAACAATAAGTATTTAAAATATGAGCAAATTAAACAGAATTAATATGAACATTAAGCATAAAAATATGAACAATAAGAATTAGAATATGAACAAACAATATCGTATGAATAAGAAGCATACGAATATGAGCAATGAACAATTAGTCAATACTAAGACTATGAACAAAAAACTTAGATTATTATGAACAACAAGTATAAAAATTTGAACAAGAAGGTTCTGAGTATTATGTGGGGGGTTGTTTAAAAGATTGGGGGGGGGGAGGGTTGTTCAGAGGTAAGTGAGGGTTGTTTAGAGGTTTGTGGGGGTTGGTCTTAAGTTTCACAAGGCTTTTTCAGTAGTTTCTTGAGGCTTTTCAAAGGTTGGTTGGCGTTGCTTAGAAGTTTGTGGGTGTTGTTCAATAGTGTGAGGAGTTTGTTCAGGTGATTATGAGAGCTTTTCAATAGTTTCTGGGGATTTTTAGGAGTTGTTTGGGCTACTTAGAAGTTTGTGGGTGTTGTTCAAAAGTTTAGGGTGTTTTGTTAAGATGTTTCTAAGGGTTATTCAATAGTTTTGGGGGGCTTTTCAGGGGTGAGTTGGGGTTGTGCAAAAGTTTGTGGCTATTGTTCAAAAGCTTGGGGGGTTTCTTAGGTGTTTGTTGGTGCTAGTTAGAAGTTTGGAGAGGTTGTTTAGAAGATAAGGATGGTTGTTCAGATGTTTGTTGTTGCTAGTCACAAGTTTGGGGAGACGGTTCAAAAGATAAGGGAGGTTGTTCGTAATTAGATAAGGGAGGTTGACTTCATGGGTTGCTATAAACAAAATCAATAACAAAACAACTATAAAGAATATTTGAACTAACAACATACAATATATAAATACAAGATACAATATATGAATAAAAAGCACACAATATATTAATAAAAGGCACATAAATGAAAGGAATGGTATCCTTCGAACAAGTGTATTATTCCGATAAGGGGTTCAGAATTATTAGAAAGCTAATTATTCAGTGAGGTCAAGTGATTGGAATGCCTAGGTGGAGGCCGCTTTCGATCAGTAATATCAATGTATAATTAATATTACAGCTTAATCTTGACTGAACCCTTCGGGTCACACCCAAGCAACTAACGAGCCGAAGCGACGAATTAATTCGGAAGTAATTAATGAGTCAACCGAGTAATTAATATTTAGACGTCGGAAATTCGAGGTTGAAGCGTCGGAATTCGAGTCAAAAATAGTAAAAGACAAGGCGTGAAAATACTAATAAATCAACAATGACCAAAATACCCCTAGCATCGGAATACCGAGTGGTAGGGGCGCAACCATGCTGGCAGCCCGCACCAAGTGCGGGGCTTGGCTAGCATGCCACAGCTAGCAGACCGCACTAATGTGCGAGGCATGCTAGCAGGCAGCAGCTAGCAGCCCGCACATGGTGCACAGCGTGCTGGCAGCTAGCCTCGGCAAAGCACATGGCATTCCACCTTGGGTGCCTTGGTGCCCAAGTGTGGGGTGCCACGTGGAACGAGCTCATTGGGGTTTTGGTGTTGTGTTGGGCGGTTTTGGGAGAGGGAGTTGGGAGCAAGTTTGGTCCCCCCTCCCCTTTCCAAATGGTTCTCACCTACTCCCTCATGTGAGCTTGACACTAATTGATTTATTACTAGTTTGATTAATAATTTTATTTTAGCTTTAAAATGGGTGAATCAAATTGTCCCACATTGATGGGAGAGATTTTCATACTCATGCCTTTCCCTATAAATACCCAAGTTGGGGTATTGGGAAAGACACTTGAGTAAGTGTTGAAAAAGGCATCACCATTGTGAAAACCTTTTAACACATTTATTACTCGGGTTTTGGTCGGGCCTTGCTAACTCCAAGGCATTAGACCCTTGTTGGTGGTCGGGTTGTGGGTGGACTTCCATTGGAGGTTGTCGTACTTTCGAGACTTGCTTTCGAAGTAAGAGCCCCTTGAGGTCCGGCGAAGCACGCGTCAACGGTGTAATTACTATCCTAATCTTGTCATTAAGTTAATTATGCTTTGTGGTTTTATTTATTGCGAGTGCGGTCTTGGCTTGGGTTTTCTTCCGCGGTGAGTCGGACTCACCAAACCCCAACAATAAAAACATATGAACATAAAACACACAATATATGAGCAAAAATGAGCATAAAGCAAAATTAATAACAAAAAATAACAATAAAGAATATAATAAAGAAAAATGCCCCAACATTTGAATATAAAGCACATAATATAAGAATACAAAACATTTATCATATAAACATAGAGCAACAATATATGAACATATAAGACTCCTATTAATTGGACTTATTGAAATTTTTTTATCTAACTATTCTAATATCTTTTCACTCACAATTGTACTCTTGTTAGATACATCACACAAATTCTTCATTTTCTAAATTCTTTTTTTTTGAAAAATCGAGGAATTAAAAATATAGTTCATATAATTTAAAGTTTATTTAGTATTCAATTTCAAAATCAACAAAGTAGAGTTTTGAGCAATAATTTACTTGCATGTGGTCATCTTTTTTTTTTTTTTTTGATAAGATGCATCTTAAATAGTTGGACAAGAGACTTTCGATTTTCTAACAAAAAATAAAAATAAAAATAGAATTAAGTTCATGAAATTTAAATAATTTTTATTTGAGTTTTTATTCTACAAATTTCACAAATCATATCGTGTAAGTACAAAAACTAATCCATGTAGTTGTAGACACCCAAATGTGTCTCCCCAAAACCAAACCCAGTGATGAATACCTTTCATGTCATTGATTATAGAACAAAATGAAAGTGTGAAAAGTCTAGTGATGAGGATGTTTTTATAAAATATCTCTTCTTTCTGTTTTTGAAAATATTTCTTTTCTTACCCTATTTTTGAAAAATGTGCATTCTAGTTTATTTTGGTCCATGATATGGGTCCAATAATGGTGTAGTTGGATGGGGTTTGAAAAGACCTTTCCAATGATATATTATAATCCCAATTCCGATGAATAGTGAGGAAGTTATGGCCAAAATACTAAACTGAGCCCAAACTGGTTTTTACCTACGGCCCAATTATCATGTGGAGGGTCCAAAGGTCTAATCATATTCCTAAACTAATTAGGATTAATTAGAAGTTTCTATAATTTTCTAAAATATCTTAATTACTCCCTCCGTCCCTAAATTACATTCCTTCTTTCTATTTTAGGTATTCCAAAATTTCATTCCACCTTTCTATTTTTAGTAAGTTTTTTTTCCTAAATATCCCAAATACACTCTCTTTTTCAGTTGTACTTTTAATTTATAATTAATGTATTTACATTCCACTTTTAATGTTTTGGTTGGCTAATGTACTTTTTCAGAATCCTTGTGCCAAATTACAATTAATATGATTGGTTAAAAATTTTCAATTAGGAGCATGTGATTGATCCTTTTTTTTTTACAAAGGATTGATGACATGTCATGAGTAATCACTAATCTATCTTTGTTTACTCAAAAATATTATTTAATGTTTTGTACTTCCCATTGCATTATCTAATTATTGTTATTTGTCTTGTTATTTCCTCCTTAATTTCTGTGTAAATTTCCAAACAAGAATGTAATTTAGGGACAGAGGGAGTATCCTTTTTGAAAAGATAAGATTAAAGAATTTGAGTTAAATAAAAACTTTTGTTAAATATAGAAGAGAAAACATAGAGAGATGAGGGAAGATTGTTACGTTGTATTGTAATATTCCATCTAGTACGGGATATATATACATGTACATTACCTAGGGTTCCATCAACGGACAAGACCAAAACCCAACTCTAGAGTATTCTAGATAGTACATGGGATAATAGTCATCAATATTTAGATATTATCATAACACTCCCCCTTGGATGACTATATATTGAATAAAACAATAAGTAACATTTACTATAAAACCCGTACAAAATAATACACTATAATGCACATAAGATGTTGCCTCGTTAAAAACCTTACCAGGAAAACCCGGTGGGAAAAAACCATGGTTAAGGAAAAAAGTGTGCAACGCGCATTAACTCCCCCTCATGACTACATCACTTGAGATCTTTAAGACGACGCAATCCAATGCCGTAAGCTAACTTTTTGAATATTGCTGTCGGAAGAGCCTTAGTTAATAAGTATGCTAAATTCTCACTTGAACGAATCTGCAATACATTTATATCTCCATTATTCTGAAGATCATGAGTGATGAAAAATTTGGGTAAGATGTGCTTTGTTCTGTCGCCTTTGATGTATCCTTCCTTAAGTTGAGCAATACAAGCTGCGTTATCCTCATATAAAATTGTTGGTGCCTCTTTCCCAGATGATAAACCACAAACTTCTTTTATATGTTGAATTACCGACCTTAACCATAGACATTCACGACTAGCCTCGTGAATTGCTAAAATCTCAGAATGATTGGAAGAAGTAGATGCAATGGTTTGTTTCATGAAACGCCAAGAAATGGAAGTACCATCATATGTGAACACATATCCAGTTTGTCACCGACCATTATGAGGATCAGATAAATAAATGCATCTGCAAAACCAATCAAATTTTCTTTGGACAACTTTGGGAAAAATAAACCCATATCCTTTGTACCTTGAAGGTAACGAAGTAAATGTTTAATCCCATTCCAATGCCTTCAGGTTGGACATGAACTAAACCTTGCCAATAAATTCACTGAAAATGATATGTCGGGTCGTGTATGACTTGCAAGGTACATTAGTGCTCCAATTGCACTAAGATACGGTACTTCAGAACCAAGAATTTCTTCATCATTTTCCCAAGGTTGGAATGGATCTTTCTCTACTTCAAGTGATCTTACAACCATAGGGCTGCTCAATGGATGTGTTGTATCCATAGAAAATTTTTTAAGAACCTTTTCTATGTATTTTGATTGATGCACAAGGATTCCATTCTCTAGGTGATCTATTTGTAACCCCAAGTTTTCTTTCCTAGATCATTCATTTCGAACTCTTTCTTTAAATAATTGACAGTCATTGAAATCTCTTCAGGAGTTCCAATGATATTTAAATCATCAACATACACTGCAATTATAACAAATCCCGATCCAAATTTCTTTATAAAAATACATGGGCTGATATGATCATTCTTATAACCTTCTTTCAACAAATACTCACTTAGACGGTTATACCACATACACCCAGATTGTTTCAATCCATAAAGAGATTTGTTTAATTTAATACATAAATGTTCTCGAGAACTAGATTTTGTTGCTTCTGGCCGTTTGAATCCTTCTGGGAGCTTCATGTAAATGTCATCATCCAGTGGGCCATATAAATAAGCTGTGACTACATCCATCAAACGTAAGTCAAGTCCTTCTCTTATTGCCAGACTAATAAAAAATCTAAAAGTAGTTGCATCCACCATAGAAGAATATGTCTCCTCATAATCAATACCAGGTCGATCTTTATGAGAATCCTTGTGCAACTAAGCGTGCCTTATATCTTGCAACTTCACCCTTTTCATTTCTCTTTCGCACAAAGACCCATTTATATCGCACTGGCTTTACACCTTCAGGTGTACGGACTACATGTCCGAATACTTCTCTTTTTCCAAGAGATTTTAATTCTGCTTCAATTGCTTCTTTCCATTTTGGCCAATCATTTCTTTGTCTACATTTTTCAATGGATTTTGGTTCATGATCCTCATTATTATCCATAACATCTAATGCTACATTGCATGCAAAAACATCATCGACATCAATTTGATTTTGGTTCCATGTAATTCATGACATGATATAATTTGTTGAAATTTCTTCATTATCAGGTACCTGAATTTCTTCTTGTACCATGTCTAAAGTCTCTTCTAGAGATCCTTCGGAAATTATTTCTTCAATTTGACCATCATCAATAAATTCTCCTTTTCTTTTCCGAGGATTCTTATCTTTGGAACCTATTGGTCTTCCACGTTTCTGACGTGGTTTAGACTCATTAGCAAATTTATTTTGTCCTTCCGGGACATCTATTTTAAAGGGAGCATTTATCATTGGAATATGTGACTTGGTCACTCTTTTTGGGTCAGCAAACGAGTCTAGCAATTGATTCGCTAAACTTTGTAAATGAATTATCTTTTAAACTTTCAGTTCACATTGTTTAGTTAGGGGATCAAGATAGGATAATGATAATTCATTCAATTTAAATTTCTTTTCCAGCTTTCTCTTTTCTCCCCCTAATGTTGGGAAAAGTGACTCGTTAAAATGACAATCAGCAAAACGAGCCGTAAATAAATCCCCTGTTGTAGGCTCAAGATAGTTAATTATTGACGGGGATTCAAACCCAACATATATCCCCAACCTCCTTTGAGGACCCATCTTAGTGCGTTGTGGTGGAGCTATTGGAACATAAACCGCACATCCAAAAATTCTTAGATGGGAAATATTTGGTTCCTGACCATAAACCAATTGTAATGGGGAGAACTTGTGATAACTTGTTGGCCTAATGCGAATTAGTGCTGCTGCATGTAATATAGCATGTCCACAAGAAGAAATTGGGAGATTGGATTTCATAAGCAATGGTCTAGCAATTAACTGAATACGTTTTCTTAATGACTCTGCCAGACCGTTTTGTGTATGAACATGTGCTACAGGATGTTCAACATTTATCCCAATGGACATGCAATAATCATTTGATGCTTGAGATGTAAATTCACCAGCATTGTCAAGCCGAATAATCTTAATGGGAGTATCTGGAAAATGTGCCCGTAACTTAATCAATTGGGCAAGTAATCTCACAAACGCCAGGTTACGAGTTGATAACAAAGACACATGTGACCATCTAGCTGATGCATCAATTAAAACCATAAAATATCTAAATGGTCCACATGGGGGATGTATGGGCCCACAAATATTTCCTTGTATACATTCCAGAAAACTAATTGATTCAAAATTAATTTTAGCTGGTGATGGACGAATGATAAACTTGCTTTCTGAGCAAGCATCACATGAAAAAATATTATGAAGAATCTGATGGCTCTTCAAAGAATATTATTTTTCTCATCATTATTGAACCGGGATGGCCTAACCGGTCATGCCAAACAACAAAATTATCAGTAAACTTCTGGTTTACTATAGCATGATCTTCAATAGCATTGATTTTTGTGTAGTACAAACCACTGGAGAATGTAGGTAGTTTCTCCAAAACATATTTTGAGCCTTGAGTTATATTTGTGATTTGAAGGAATTCGTTATTTTTCTTCATTGATTGTCTCAATATGATAACCATTGTTGCGAATATCCTTATAACTTAATAAATTTCTTTGTGACAATAGGGAGTATAAAGCATCAATTATTTTAATTTCAGTTCCCCAAGGCAATTTTATAGTGGCTCTTCTAGAGCCCTCAATGATATTTGTAATACCCGACATGGTACTCAGATTAATCCTTTTCGATCATCATCAAATAAGAGAAATATTTTTTATTTATAAGTATTGTATGAGTAGTTGCACTGTCAGCAAGACATAATTCTTCACCATTCATAGCAAATTGAACTTGAGTAATATCCATGTTCTTCATGAAATAAAATACATGTCAAAATATTAAGCATAAAAATAAAGATGATAAAATAAATAAATGAATAAAAACACTCAAATAGTTCATAAATTTATAAAGCAAAAGTCCTTATTACAACGAAAGAAATAAACTTAAGTAAATCACTAGAATAAGCAAACATAAGTCTAATACTTAAAACTGACACAAAACAATATAATTTTAATTATTCCCTTCTGCGGCAGTGAAGAAATCAGCAACTTCTAAATGAGTTGTACTGCCAAAATCAAAAATATTCCCTTTTGGGGAAATAAGGAAATCGGCAACATCAAATTGATTAGCATTGCCAAAATCAAAATCACCTTCGCCATCTTCAAGAATAAGGTTTGCCTCAAATTTCTTTCCTTTCTTCAATGATTCTTGGTAAAGTTCAACAAGATGCTTTGGAGTTCTACAAACCCGAGACGAATGACCTTTTCCTCCACAACGGTAACATGTATTGGTATCACTTTTCTCTTTATCATCCCTACGTTCCCACTTCTGGTGGGAATGTGAGTTTATGAAATGACCTCCACGACCTCTACCATATTCACGTCCACGACCCTGGAAGCACCATTGGCCACGACCGCGACCTCTACCTCGACCACTACTGCTGAAATGGTCTCTTTTTTTAGTTTCTTTCTCGTTAAAGGTTTTTACATTCGCTTCAGGGAATGGAGTAGAGCCAGTAGGACGTGATTCATGATTTTTTATTAACAGCTCGTTATTTTGCTCAACCACAATAAGACAGGATATTAATTCAGAATATTTTTTAAAACCTTTTTCTTTATATTGTGTCTGCAAGACAATATTATTAGCATGTAAAGTGGAGTATGTCATTTCAAGCATTTCTACATCATTAATATTTTCTCCACATAATTTTGATTGAGAAGTTATTTTAAACATAGCTGAGTTATATTCACTAACAGATTTAAAATCTTGCAATCTCAAATTCAACCATTCATAACGAGCTCTAGGGAGTATCACTGTTTTTTGGTGGCCATACCTTTCCTTTAGATTACTCCAAAGGATTTGTGGGTCTTTCAAAGTTAAATATTCATTTTTGAGCCCTTCATGGAGGTGATGGCGAAGGAAAATCATGGCTTTAGCCTTATCCTGAGGTGTTGCCTTATTAGCCTCTTTGATTGTTTCACCAAGCCCTTTAGCATCTAGGTGTATTTCAGCATCTAACACCCATGATAAATAATTCTTTTCGGTAATATCAAGTGCCACAAATTCGAGCTTGGCAAGGTTCGACATTTTTCACTATACAAAATAATATTAAAAGATAAGTATATATAAATAGTATCCAAAATATGTACTAAACGTTATAATCATGCATAAATAAACCTGATACAAATCATGCATAAATAAGGACAAAATAGAAGATGAGAACGTTAGCATGGAGAAAAATAAGAATGGAATCATAAAGTATATATCATGCTCTGTATTCATTATATATGTTGATATTCCAATAAATAAGCATGCAAAAGTAGATAAATGTTAAATTATAATTGTTATGGGTTGTGATCATACTTACATGATAATAATAATAATATGCGATTCTAGATAAATGTTTGGTAATCCTACTCAGTTGACTAGCGATGGTGCTGATAACGTGTTAAATATGGAAGAGAAAATATAGAGAGATGAGGGAAGATTGTTACGTTGTATTTTAATATTCCATCTAGTACGAGATATATATACATGTACATTACCTAGGGTTCCATCAACGGATAAGACCAAATACCCAACACTAGAGTATTCTAGATAGTACATGGGATAATAGTCATCCATATTTAGATATTATCATAACAACTTTCCTTTTATAAAAAACTTTCCTTTTTTTTAATCCTAATTCTATTCGAATTTGAAGATGTTCAAAGACAGTCAGATATTATT